GGGAGCCGACGCGCCGGGACCCGGGCCGCCCCGCCCCCCATCCTCGGAACGCACCTGGGCGCCCCTCAGGCCGCCTCCCCAGCTCCGTCCCCACACCCTCAGCGCCCCCCCTCCACGGGGACGCGAGAGGAGCCTCGCTTTCGGGATGGCCTTTACCCTCTGTAAGGGAAGGTGCCCAGCAGCCCCCTCCCTCGAAGGCATTCTCGGGGTCCCGCGCCGTCTTTCCTCGGAGCGCAGCCCGCAGCATCAGCGTCCCCCGGGAACTAGTTGGATGCACAGTCTCGGCCTGCTGGATCGGTATCTGCATTTAACACCATCTCCTGGCGATGGCTACGTGGGCACCTTTTAAAGACAGAAAAGCCCTGGTTCATGGCCTTGCCCACTTAAGACCCTCCGTGGGACAAGAGCCAATGTTGCCCCAGCCGTCCAAGATTTTTCCTATTCCTGTCGGCGGCCTAAATTTAGACCCAAACAAGTTTTACTTAGGATTTCAGGAGGTATCCAAAAGTTGCCGGCTTTCCCGTCCTGCAATCTAGGAAAATAAAGGGACCCAACATAGCAAATAAATTGGTATCTTATCAGACAACAGCGGTACACTAAAATCTCCCCTCTCTTCCCTCAGCTCAACTGAACAGTACTTTGGAAGGTTAAAATGTGCATTAATCTGGAGCTAAATCTTTGTGCCTGCATGCCACCGGAGAGAGTGTGGATGGAAGAAAAATTACCTGCTGCATAAAATCTGAACTCCTTTCAGGATGTCATTGAAAGCCCAAACTGGTCCCTACCGATCTTTCCAGTTCTAGCTCTAACTACTAACTTGGTACATTCACCCATCCAGAATGACCTGCATTTTCCACTCTGATGATCTTAATTCAATCCAAACTTGGGAATTAGCTCAAATCCTGCCAGCCCAGAGTTCACTCTCACCACTGCACTTACACACATTGTAGCTTATTCTGGGCTCTCGTGTTACCTTGTATTGCTAGGTAGTTTTAAATGTGTTATGTCCTAGTTTCTGAATGGATTACAAACACCTTAGAGACCTAGTCAGTGGTTATTAAAGTGTGTTCCCCACACCAGCAACATCAACATCACCTGGGAACTTGTGAGAAGTTCCATATTCTCCAGCTGCACCCTGGATCTACTGTGTTAGAAACTTGGGGGTGAAGTCCTGCTACCTGTGTTTTAACCAGGGCTTCCAACGGATTCTAATGTACACTCACTTTTAGAATTACTAGCCTAGAATATTGTCTCTATTTCCAAAGGAGCTCAATGGTAGGGATTGTCTCTATGAAAGTTTTATTGCCTTTCAGATTAAGAAGTAAGCTGCTCAGTTCATACACAACTAGTTGGAAGGCTGTGACAATTGCTTTTGGAAGAATTATCTTTGATTTTTGTAATGCATTTTAAGGAGTAGGATGTTTGTAACTCGGTTTGTTTGAAAAGAAAGAATACACATAACTAGTCACTTTAGGGGAAGAGGAAATATGTGGAGTTTTATCTCCTCTAGTCAGGTAACTGAGTTGCATAATGTTGCTCTCTCGGCATACCCTTGTGGCAGGCAGTAATTTGTAGCAAATGATTTCAACAGGTGCCAAAATGAGAATTAGTGGAGGGGCACATGAATACACATGACAAATGAGGGTGCACATATTTTCTCATGCCTTTTTTTACATGAGTTAATTTATCTCTTTTCAGCCNAAGTGCACGTATTTTCTCATGCCTTTTTTTACATGAGTTAATTTATCTCTTTTCAGCCAAATCAATACCACAGAATTTTCTTTAAAAGGCATGGAAAGAGAGAAGTAGCAGGAAAAACATTCTGAAAATCAGGAGCCTCTTTAGCATGGGAAGTTAAGTATAATCAAGGACCTGTCTATACCAAGTCCTTATACTGAAAGTCAAGCCATCTATTTCTATCATTTATGATAAACTTGACTATATTGTATTGTAACCCATATACTTAGGCACCTGTGTCATAATGAGAGAATAGGGGAGATATAGCATGATGTCATCTTTGAGGGAACTTTTCTATTTACTGTAACGATGAAGAGAAGATATATGTCATGCGCTATTTTTTCCCTCCAGAATTCTAGTCTACGTCATGGTGCTTGTGACTGATGGAAACATGATTATTAATCAAACTGATATTTGTCTGGGAATTGAAAAAGTAGACAAGGACAAGTAGTATTGCTGCCACTGCCAACTTAGCTTCTCAACAAAGACACAGTCAGGGCATTTATGTGGATAAATTCAGCCAACTACTGTGCCTCTGTGCTGTGACTGAGGATTGCATTTTACTGCAATTTCTGAAGTGAGTGCAAGTACAGTCCAGAGTTTAATCAGTACTGGCTAATAGCCCTTGGCAGCTTTGGGTGGATGGCGTTCTCCACCTGCCCATCTGGGTGCCATGCCCTAAGCACCCACATTTGGTGCACTTACATGATTTCTTGGTTGCTTATAGTACCCCCATCTGTTTGAGTGGCAGAGTGCCCAGTCCACAACAGTCTAATATTCTGCTAGTTGTTCGTCACTTCTTTTGGGTTACACATCTCTTTAAGCATCTGATGAAAGTTGTGGATCTTCTCCTTAATAAAGTACACACACACACACACACACACACACACACACACTCTTACTTAAATGCATTTGTACAGACATATATATGACGTTTCACAAAGTGCTCCGCCTTCCCACATCTCCAGAGAACCACAAGGAAGTCATGAACATCAGATTAAGAAGTTGCCCTAGGAACATAGAAAGTAGGGGAAATAAACTTTTTTTTTTTCCAAATATCAAGGATAACTCTAAAAAACCACTGTGTGCTTGGGAGATAGAATAAAAGCAATGCTAAACAGAGTTACAAGCAAAGTGCTGGAGGGGTGCTAAAGGAGCAGCTAGTCGAGTCAGCAGCTGATTCAGGAGAAGCTTTCTGCAGAAAAGTTCTTGCATCAGGCAAGTGACAATAGGATTTTGATCAAGGACGAAGGATCCCTCCAGAATCAGGGAAAATGTTTGCAAAGGAATGGATTCATGAAAGTACCATGGTCCACCTAGTGTGGCTCAAATGCAGAATACACGGGAAGGTAGAAAAGGGAATGGGGAGATGGGACGGAGTCACATA